TCTTGAATCTCATTTCCTCCCAACCTCCAAACTTTGCACCAGATATCCAGGTCAGACTCACAAAGAGCACTTGGTCAGGGGTTTGTGCCAAAAGCAGAGACAGTGCCTAAAATATCCTGAACTCTTACCAGATTTGTATACACAAACCCTACTATTCTGTTGGCAGAAAAGTGAGGTAAATGAGAACTTGAAGAATCCGCAAAAATTGGAGGCTGTCAAGACTAAGAAAAGCTCAGACACCACGGAGCCTTGTACCAAAATTAATGCCACTAGGGAATGCCAAGGTCATACCCCAGATGTCTTGGTTGGCAAGAGAATGCTTCAAGAGCTAGTAGTTTAAATTCTTCCCTTTATTCTGTGCAGGAAATGCTTAACTTTATGCAGGAAGCAAAACAGGAAGAGTCAAGGACCCTCAGAACCAAACTAACTCCTAGACTCGACTGATGGGCACAACCCTCAGGTTTGTGCATGTGGCAGTAAGTAGATCATGGTCCTACTGTTTGCTTACACAGCTTTGAAGACTTGCACTCAGCTCAGGACTCTAGGCCAGGGCTCAGCATGGAAGAGATCAGATAATAATGGAGATTGATTGCAAAGGAATATGCCAGTGAGTGCATACGTGAGATGTATGCTTGAGGGAGATGAACTGCAAAAAATTGATATTGACACTAGCAGTTGTCAGAATTTTTCCCCAAACCCTGCATGCTCCTGTTCAGCTTTGCAGTTAATATCAATTACCCAGTAGAAGAGAAGAGAATCAACATCCATCACCAGACATCTGGCTTAAAACAGCTTCATTGAGGGTAACACAACCTGTGAAACTGAATCCAGGTAGCTTCCATTCTCCTGTGGTCTCAGGCAGTCTTACATCCATAGAAAGGATCACTGTCATTTTTTAAATGTTGATATTGGGTCATTGGAAAAGTCATGACATGTTCTTCAATGCAAAAGTATGTTGTGACTCTTTCGATGACCCAATATTTATGGTATTGCATGACAGATTTTGGCTACATAACTCAGACCACTTTAATTTTTTTTTTTTTTTGGAGAGATTTTCACTGTAGGGCGCGTGCGCTCGCCAGACAGACAGAGAGAGACATAGAGACAGAAAGCGAGAAATCACCCCCCAGGGGGGATGGTCACGCCGCAATCCCTTCTCCTCCATTCTCCTCTCGGGATCTTGGGCACACACGCACATGCGCCCGGCGTGAGTTTTAAGTCACCGGGTCCGGGACACGAACCGCGGTCGACTATGTGGGAGTCCAGCGACATAGCCATTACGCTAACTGCTGGTTCCCCCGACCACTTTAATATTTTATGGCCAATGACCTACTGAAATGTACTCAAATATACTGAAACTTAGCAAAGACAATGTCTCATCCCACCTCTTAGATTTCATCTGGGCTTAGAGAACTAACACAACTCATACAAAGTACAATAGTGCAATATGTGATGGGTTGTACAAAGTGCAAGTAGGGCACACTAGACATACCACTAATTATAGGAGTTCTCCAGATGTGAGGTCACTATCTCTGTTGTCCAGGCTCATTGTACTCCAAAGTACTCTCTTTCCTTGCCATCTTTAACAAACTGACTAGACAACACAATCAATCTTAAAATTTTAAGTCTATGGTTTTTTTTTTTTTTCAAGAATCTATGTCTTTTTTGGTCATCCACTTCCCATACTATCACTATTTTCATATGATTCACTTTTTCAAAAAATCCTATTTCTTGCGCTGACTCCATAGTACAGTTGCTAAGCACCATGCATAGAAAGCTGGAGCCCATGTGGCTAACCTTGGTTCAAATATGGACCTGGTGGCTTGAAAAACATGCTGGGTACATGTTCATGAATGCCCCAAGTCCTGATGAGGTAGATAAATGAAGAAAAGGGGATTGTGGTGTGACTACATTCCAATGTGAGGTACATTTTCCCTCTTCCTTTCTCTTTGGTGAGCACATATATTCTCTGGCAAAAATAAAATATAAACCTAATTTCTCTTTTCCTAGTAGATTATCACTGGTAGTAAATCTCCCTGTATACTGAACTCTAAAACTATCTGACTCTTACCTTTCCTTGAACCTCATATCATATACCCAACTCTTTATACCACAGATCCCCCGGGTATCTAATAAGCATACTAAATTGACCATGATCAAATGTGATGAAATTTTCCCACCATATCTATTCTTCTCCCTGGGGCCCAATTTCACAAACAACATCACTCTTCAATATGTTGTTTAGAATAAAACCTTGATCTCTCAGTATTTTCTTTCTCCTACACCTTTCATCCATCTCTACGCCCTATGGAAGTCCAGCCTTCTATATATCACCCTAATTTACCCAATTTTCACTCCTTGCCTCCCCAGCTACCATCTGAAACAGAACTTTGTAAAATTCTGCTTTCTGATTTTTCTTCTTATCTGCTGTCCCTCCATAGACTCTTCCATGGTGCCCATGATAAACTTTATAAAACATAAATCATTTCATGTCACTCCCCTGAACAAAACACCTCGATAATTTCCTGTCAAATTTACAATAAAATCCAAAAACTTTATGTTAGTTTACAAACTGTATGTAATCTGGCCCTGGTGCATCTCTGATTTTTTTTTTCCTGGCTTCTCTTCTCCTTAGTCACTTTGCTTAATCGGTCACTTAGCCCTTGTTGCTATTCCTACACTAATCGCCCCCCTACCTTAGGCTCTGTATACTTGTTTTCCCCTTAGCGTGAAAGATTTGCTCCAGATTTTTTCTATGAATCATTCCTCATTTCTTCAGGTCATTGTTATCTTTTACACACTGCATCACTTGTAGTAGCAGAGTGGCACACTATGAAATTGCCTTGATTCATTTTTCTTCAGGCCATTTTTCAGTACCTGACATATGATATATTTATTTATTTGTTATGTCTATTTATTTCCCCCATTGAAATATTGTGGTTTTTTTTTTCAATTTTTAAAATTTTTTTCAGGTTTTTGCTATAGGTCATATGCACTCCCCCGAGAGAGAGAAACACAGTGAAAGGGAAAGTGAGAAATCACAGGGATGGCCATGGCACATTCCTTCTCTTTCATTCTCCTGGGATTTTGTGCACACACATACACATGCCCAGTGTGATTTTCAAGCTATCAGGTCCAGGACTTGAATTGTGATTGGCCAGTTAGAAGTCCAGCACCTTAACCACTATGCCACCTGCTGGCCACTGGAAGGCAGTTTTAAGAGGGCAAGGATCTTGTCTGTTATGCCCACCACTGAATCATGAGAGTGAAAATTGATACAGAAAAGTGCTACAAATATTAAATGAATTAAACAAATGAATCTACCCAACTTTTATACCATATCCAAGTCTGTGCTTTCTATTACCTGCATTTCTTTCCTTTCCTCAACCCATCTAGTTGAGAAATTGAAGAAGCATCTTTGCCTTTTTGCTGGCATCCCTTGGATCCATTCTCAAAGCTGCCCAAGATATATATATATATATATATATATATATATATATAGGAGAAATAGCTATTCATCAGAGGATTTTTCTTGGCAAGGGAGCAGAAGGCTGGTCAGAGTAAAGCCAAGGTTTTCCAGCTCTGGTTGCCTCCTGTTATGGTCACCCAACAGCCATTCTCCATGTCTTCATCTTACTCTTCTTCAAATATGATTCTTTCACAATGGCCATGTGTCTCATCCTAAGTGATAAATCTACACTCTTGCTCCTCTTAGCCATATGCAAATTTTCACTAATCCAAAATCTAAAAGGCTCTGAAAACCAAAAACTTTTCCCCTAAACTTGAGAGTAACTCATTAGGTAGAAGAAATTGGCATGACCTAATGTAAGGTTCATTATGGTCCTTATTTATCTTGCATCAACAGTCATACCTTTTGTAGCAGACAGACTGATTTGGAGTACAGAATGTTGCTCCAGGCTTCCTTGCTGGTATAACATAATATTAACATATAAAATTTGCTCTTAACTTCTGAAATCTGAAAAATACTAAGTTCTGAAACACATCTAGGCTCAAAAGTCTTGGAAAAGAGATTGTGAAGCCCTGTTTGTCTTCATAGCTACACAAGGTGAAAAAGGAAGTCCTCTGACACAGAACTGAGCACTAAATGAGGAAATCTTCTTGAGCTTAAATCCAGCTTCTAAAATGGAAAGTCAAACCCTCCAAAGAGACTAGTTTTGTCTCAGTCCTTCCTTCCTATTCAGGGTCTGGGCTGAGGGTGTGGTCCCTGCCACCTTGTGACCATGAGGAGATAAGATAAAAAGACAAACTGTGGTGAGTGGGGAAAAAAGGAGAAAGATAAGGCTATTAATAACCCCAAAAGAACCCTGGAATCATGCACTTTCTTCTTGTTAAGTAAATGGTAAACTTCCTTATTTTTAAGCCAAGATTAGTCAGCTTTTCTGCTACATAGGTGAGATTAGCCAAGGACAATGAAGTAGTGTTTGAACAGAAAAAGGAGGGTCCTCACTCAACAGATCACTAAGTAACCTCTTTGTGATGAAGGATCAAACAAGAGGTCTGTAATACTGAGTAGTCCATAAAAGACCCCAGTGCTAGCCTTATCATATTTCCAAGAAGAAAAGATCGGAAAGAATAGAAAGGTAGAACACCCTTTGGCAGAAAACCAGAGCCAAGGCAGCTGTTGTTTATCATAGACACACTGTAGTTCATCAGGGTCATGTGTTACTCCCCAGCTGGCATAATATACGTGTGTGAATATTTGTATGCAAAGGGTGCCCGGGTCAATATTACAAAGTATAAAGCATCCTTGCTTGGCCAGTCCTTGAAGACTTTCTCTGAACTTTATGGTGAGTAAATCTGATCTACAGCAACTATTTGTTCCTTCCCGAACTCCACTAAAGATTCTAGAACTGACAGTGTTTCCTTCACCTTTTACTCTTTCAAGATTGTCTGTGAGTCTCTCCTCCTCTCACAATCTCAGCAGAGCTCAGAGATCTTAGCTCCTCTTCATCTTCCTTTCCAGCCCCAGGACACTGACATTTTACAGGATGAAGCCTACCTTTGTCCTCATTCTCATCCTCATCTTCCTTGTCCAGCTGATGACCTCAGAGAGTTCTCAGTGTTCCTTAGACTCCATGGTAGATAAAAAGATCAAGGAAGCTCTCAACAGTCTAGGTAACTGTCTGGGGTATGGCATAGTGGAAGATCAACCCTTCTTGTGCTTTCTGTTGTTAACTAAACCCTAACTGCATCTCTATCCCATTACAAGATCCCCAGCCTCTAATCAGTCAAATTGACCCCAAGCTTTCTACCCATGGCTTTCCGTCTTACCCTTTCCCTCTCTGGATCCTTAGCTAAAAGTTCATATTACTTGATTATAAGGAAGACAAGGAGGGGGAGGAGGAGGATGTTCACTATAATTGATGAACACGCAAGGAAACTAAACCTTAAGAGCTAACAAGTAGCCTGTTGTTGGTCATGGTGACTCCACCGAGGTAGAAGAGGATTTGGGAGAGGATTATCAAAAGAGAGATCATGGGCTATCCCCCTTCTTATCTCCTACTCAGAGTTCAATCCCTCTGTTCTGACCAAGTTCTCATGTACCAGTATCACCAGCTCAGGCAGACTGGCCTCCTGCCCTGCTGGTGAGTAACCTCTATGAGGAGGAATCTTGAATTAGCTGTTCTGTGTCATTTTTCCATCTGCTAATGTCTCATCATTCCCCATATCAGATTTGTGTTACCATAGGGCTGTATTATAGCTCCTGATTCCTAGAGATCTCTTGCCAGTTCTTAATTTTCTTAAGGATGTTACTGAGGGATCCTGGGCTTTTGCCTCTTCCTTTCCTAATTGTCCTGTCACTGTCATGTCCTTCCACTCTTTTGCCAATCTGTTCTTTTCTAATGAGTGGGGACCAGCACAGGGGAATTGATCATGAATGGAAGAAAACTGAAACTCTCAACTTACAAGTCCTTCACTTGCATGGGCCTCTTCCATGGCCCCCAAAATTTGTTTAAATAAGTGTGTGTGTGTGTGTATGTGTTTTCACTGAAATGAGCTTTCAAAATTGAATAGCTTTAGACCAGACAAAACTTCAAAGTATCCCTGGTAGGCACACGGATGGGAAATGGTTGTGAGTGAACTTCCTTCTCACAGAAATAAGGGTCCTGATGTCTCTCTCAAATGCCCTTGCAGGAATGTCTGTCACCGGTTGTGCTTGTGGCTATGCCTGTGGTTCATGGGATGTCCAGAGTGAAACCACATGTCACTGCCAGTGCAGCGTGGTGGACTGGGCCACTGCCCGCTGCTGCCACCTGGTCTGAAAAGGAGGAGGCTAAGAACGCAATCTGGTGACTATGACTGAAAGGAAACCATGCTCCCCACCAAGAAATATGACTAAGATTGTCCACTTAATTTGTTGCAACCCTACCCCTTGGGTAATAAAGACAAACTGTGCATTTCTCTGTATTTTGTCTTTGGTATTACAACCTCTACCTTGGGTTTCTTCTAGCCAGAAAATGTGTCTGGTATCCTAACGACTACATCTCAGTGTGGTATGTGGGATGGTTGGTTAGGAAAAATGGGAGAAGAATTATGTCTCCCTGATAGTTGCTTGGTTCCCATCCCCGGTTCCTTCAGGATTTAACAAAAAGATCACTCTGTACTAGGCATGTTGTTTGGCATTAGGTATAGATAAATGCAATAGGAGCACATCAGCTAACACACTGAGTGCCAAGCCTTGTGCAGGAAGATGATCTGAGGTGTGGATAGGCAGGGGAGAGTTTTGTTTGTTTGTTTGTTTATTTGCTTCCACGAGAGGCAGGCAGCCCCAACAGGATCTTCATGATACAATTTGCCCCAAGTCTCAGCCTGCTTAGATCCCAGGCCCACATGTGTACCTAAATGGTCAAGGAGATCCTGGGACATAAGCCTGAGATATTTCCTATGTGAGTCCAGACACATTCATGCTGCACCACAATTTTACATTGTCCCAGACAATGGTAGTTTTAAAGGAATCGATTTATTTGACTCTTGCCTAAACTCAAGTGCCTGACAAGTGCTTTAGTCAGGGGATGTTTTTCACTACTGCCTTTGTCCACATAAAAAATGAAAACCACAGTATTCAGGGGTATAAAAATCTTTTAAGTCCAAGCCAAGAAACAATTCAAAATATTGGTATTTTTTTTGACAGGTTTTTCCTATAGGGCGTGTGCACTCACCAGAAAGACAGAGAGAGACAGAGAGATAGAAAGTGAGAAATAACCCCCCAGGGAGGATGGCCATGCTGCAATCCCTTCTCCTCTTTTCTCCTCTCGGGATCTTGGGCATGCACACACATGTGCCCAGTGTGAGTTTAAGCCACTGGATCTGGGACTCAAACTGTGGTTGACAACATGGGAGTCCAGTGACATAGCCATTATACTAACTGCTGGTCCCTATTAATGTTAAACATGTGAATTATTTAGTGGCTGGGTAATAAGTCCTATTACACATTAGGAGGTTCTTGTTTTGGGACTTCACAGTATTGAAAAAGGATATAATCTACTATCAAGTGATATTAAAATAATTTAAAAAATTCATTTATTTTTACATTTTCCAAAAACATTTACTGTATGTCCCCACTTAATATATACCAAGTATCTGCACTCTATGAATGAAACTAACTGTCTAAAGGATAAAAATTTTACTCATACTCCATAGTTCTTGACAGTTAATAAACAATTTTCAAAATTTCAAAATACTGAATTTTAAAGATAATGTTCAAAATATTTCTTATAATTTTGTTTGTGATTCTATAATAGCAGAAACAGTATGGTTTTAAATATTTTTGAGAAAATATTTACATATCAACTACTCTAATTGTTGAAAAGCAAATGCCTAGCACACTAGTCATACATAAACCTTCTCAATTCAGCTCTGTCTACCAAGTATTCTGTGATCTACCATCTGGAGGCAAAGATCAATCTCTTTCTTCCTTCAAAGTCTTTCTCAAGATAATCCTCTGGTGTGGTTTCTCTTTTGCAATCTCTACAGATTACAATGCTGGATGGAAAAGTCCAGGTTATTTTATGTTATAAATTATTTTATATATCTTCTCTAATCCTCTATGCCAGGCAGAACTATTTATGGTCATCTTTCTAAGAGCTTCTGTTGGCTTACTTGAGATC